CTTTCTTATTTCTCTTCCTTCTTTCTATCATCCTTCCTTTTATCTACATCCCCTTTAGTTTTGCTTCACAACTTAGAATCCTATTTTTTTTTAAAGAAAAAATTGCAGTTGCTACACGTATATGATAGATTTACTCATTTATGATAGATGTATTTATTCATATAGTGACTGTTTCTTAGTTAGGATCTCGACAATACGAAGCAATAGGTTGGTTATTAGTTCATTTTCTATAATTACATAGTAGGGTTCATTCTATTTTTTTTTAATCCCCTTTTTGAACCCTAAAAAAAAACTAACGAGTCACACACTAAGCATAGCAATTTTATTAAAAGATTTCTCAATTTTCATTAAATCTTATAGAAAGAGGTAGAATTTCTTCTTTTTTTCAGGGATTTTAGGGAAAATAAGGCTCTTGTCATTTTTTATTCTATTACTGAACAGAATGGGAAGACAGGGTTGGTTATTCTTCGTCTACGAATATCCAAATTTTAACTCCTAATACTCCATAGATAGTTCGAATTGGATAGCAGCAATAATCAATTTTAGCGCGAATTGTTTGGAGGGGAAGTCTACCTTTTTTGATGCATTCGGCACGCGCAATTTCTTTTCCCGCGAGACGGCCTGCAATTTTTACTTTTACTCCCTTTATATCTGTTTTTTTAGTTAATTCAATGGCTTTTTTCATTGCCTTTCGGAATGAAACTCTATTTTTTAATTGGAAAGCTATATATTCTGCAAGAATGTTAGGTTGTCTATAAGGTTCTTTCACTTTTTCGATCCCAATATTAAGTCTCTGGTTTACAGAATTAACTTCTTTTTGTAGATCTTTCTCTAATTCTTCGATTGCTCCTTTTTTCTTTAATAAATTGGGGAATCCAATATGGATTATGACGTGGATTGTATCGATTTCTTTTTGAATTTCTATATGTGTAATTACTTCGGAACTTGAGCCTGAGTCCATTTTTTTATTAGGCATAACAAGCGTTTCGTTCTTATCTTCAACGAGCGGTCCCGCTTTCAATGCGGGTCGAACCCTATGGTTACCCGGATGGTTGAATGCTGTTAACGAGAATAGTAATTCGCTTTTCTTAACAATAGGACCTGGAGATGGTCGACATAGTGACAAAGACCCCAGAATCAGCTAAGCTGAAAGTATTTATTTAGAGATTTTCTCCGATCCAATGAAAAGTACATCGAGGTACTGATACCTCACGGTATCAAATCGTTTTCGATTGTTGGATCTAGCTGGGTAGGATATCCAATGATCGGAAACGATTTGGTAGCGTGAGGTATCGATACATCGAGTTACTTTTTATTAGATCGGAGCAAATCTCATTTACTTATCATACTTGAATATGGTCGAGTATGATAATAAATAAATAAAGTTATGTATCAGTGTGTGCTCGTGCATGTGTGTGTTCACGGTTAGCTTGTTACATCAATAAAATAAAAAGTACTACCTCCGTTTCAAGTTATAAGACTTTCTAGCATTACCAACATTCATATAAATGTTAATGAGTTTAGGCACACATATATATCTAGATTTATTAATATATATATGAATGTGGGTAATGCTAGAAAGTCTTATAAACTGAAACGGATGAAGTACAGAGTATGTATGTACGCTTTGAACTATGCTTTATAGGACGAATGAGATGTGTGTCGTCAATCGTTGGATCTGAAAAGTTATCATTATAAGTACAAAATTACTGCTCTATACAACGTTTCTTCCCATCTTTAAGGGTGAGTTCTTAACCACCTCTTTCTAACTTGTTCTGTTTCCTTTCCCACGCACATGTGTCTCAAACGGTTAAACCATGTGTTCTTCTAATAAAGTTTCGATAGAAAAAAACTTTACAAATTCATATTAATTTATTTCTAAGTTTATTTTAGCTAGTGCTTAATTAGTTATGTGCTAACTAATGGATCGTTCTACTTTACGTGCAGAGAGAAGTTTTTAACCTTCACCTCTGAACGCAGCAATATTGTGCTATATGATGCATTCGCGTGAGGTAGATAGTAATGGTCTCGAGATATATACAAGCTATCCACACGCATAATTAAAAGAGGTAATTCATTTCGTGCCCAAACTTTGTCCGGTATAATTCTCTACATGATTTTTCATTTTGACCCCCTCTGTACCAATTCCTTCAGTTGACCATTAATTTTTAAATTAACAATAGTACCCTATCTATATAATATGAAAGGAAAATTATCAATTATATATATTTGAAGGGAGAGAATTGTTTACAAATCAAAATTTAAAAATTTGCAACTGAATTACAATCAAATTTAAGAATTTGCAAATGAATTACAATCACGTGAAAAATATAGAAATATATAAGTGTCTATATGTATATAGCAAGAAAAACATAGAATTTTAAGAAATATAAATACCTAAATGGCAATTTCTATAAGGTTGGATCTCATTCTAACTTTTTTTTCCGTAATCTACTTATCTAATCCTACGAAATTCATGTAAAACTCCTCGAACGTCCGGACTGAACAAGAAAAATCGGGCGGGCTGACTCTGACACACATCCTTTCAAGCCTACACACATGTACCTTTAACGATATTCAAAACATTTTTTCTCGTAATTATTTATCCAATCTACAATCCGATCACACCGTTGTATTCGTTGTAATTAAATCTTTACAACAAGATGTCGCATGATTATATTCTGATTAAAAATAATCATATGTTTCAATCCATTAATACTCTTTGTTTCATACGCGATAGTGATATGTTTCAATATGTCTCTTCAGCATATTTCACAAATTTGGTGAAACTATATGTCACTACTCTCTCTCTCTACCTCATACATGCATACATGTATACATTTTAGCGAGCTTCGAAACAATTATTCTTATAAACTAATTATCCAATCTATGATCCGATCACACCGTTGTATTCGTTGTAATTAAATCTTTACAACAAGATGTTGCATGATTATATTCTGATTAAAAATAATCATATGTTTCAATCCATTAATATTCTTTGTTTCATACGCGATAGTGATATGTTTCAATATGTCTCTTTAGCATATTTCACAAATTTGGTGAAACTATATGTCACTACTCTCTCTCTCTACCTCATACATGCATACATGTATACATTTTAGCGAGCTTCAAAACAATTTTTCTCATAAACTAATTATCCAATCTATGATCCGATCACACCGTTGTATTCGTTGTAATTAAATCTTTACAACAAGATATCACATGATTATATTTTGATGAAAGAAAAAAATATGTTTTAATCCATTAACACTGGATGTTTCATATGTGATAGTGACATGTTTCAACGTGTATCTTCATCATGTTTCATAAAACTTTTAAACGTTTCAGTTGCTGATTGTTTGTTTCACTATATATAATTTGATGTTTCACTCATTGGTCAACTACCAACCAATTTTCTTTGGGACATGGGACGTCGGATGGGAAGTTTCCTTATGATTGAAGAGTGAAGAATGAAGAGCAGCAACATGCATATGCACATACGCTCGGTGCTTGGCTGGGTGTCCGATATTTGGTGAGCTATCGTCCGAGCCGTAGTGCTCTCCAAAACTCCTTTATTCCAAACGGTCCCTTGTACTCCCTCCAGTAAGGAATACTTGATGCAGCAAAGTGACAGTGCAAAATCTAGCTGCCTCGTAAAATTTCAAATCACAAATCTAGCTAATTGATGTATTTCAGTGATATAAGAAAGTAATCCGGTTTCTAGAAAAAAAGTATATTATATTCCTGCAGTTGAAAAACTAAGTATTTTCCCTCAAAGAAAAAAAAGAATATTTCCATTATAATGTTTGAAATTATGCCATTGTAAGAATTTATGCAAAATCTATATAAAGAGCCCTCTTGTTTTAGTGCTAACCAGAGACCCCTCGTATGTTTGTCCGGATAGCTCCTTAACTATAATACTACTCCATCAAGCAAGTAGAAAATATAATCCTACCACTTATGCTTCAAATAAAATATTCTCTTAAATTATTCATCTGATCTATGATCTGATTACACTGTTGTGTTTGTAACAATTACATCTTTATAACAAGATCTCACATGATTATATTTTGATGAAAAATTACAAATTACTTTTAAATTTCACTAAATTACTTCTTAGACATATAAAAGTAAATTCAATAAAGCCTCGAAGTAATATATATATACAAGAATATAATATTCTGCAAGGTTAGCATAATATTGCCTAGTAATATATATATATACATCAAGCATCCGAGGTCGCCTTGTAACGTTGCAAATATAATATTTTGCAAGGTTAGCATAATATTGCCACGGCACAAATAGCAAATTTTGTTAAGGTAATCTCCAAGTTTTTTTAGAAAAATAAACGATTGGCTTTACAAATTGCATGTTGGCACATAGGCCTTTTTTATGCTTAAGGAAAAACAAAAATCGACATTTTTAACTATGGCAAATTGAGGAAACTACAAATCCGACGCTCTTTTCTTAAATAAAAATCTGACCGGTCAAATGTATCAGTTTGACTACTGGGTGTAACTTTAAATTATGTGATAAAAAACAGCCATTAAAATATTTAAAAATTTGTTGAAACTTAGTGTTAGTTGAAAATGTTACTATCAAATATGAAACAATAAGTTTTGACAGTTAACAATGAGTTTTAACAACTTTTATCAGAATATAATCATATAATATCTTCTTATTGTAAAGTTAATTACCACGAACATAATGATATGATTAGATCGTAAATCGGATAATTAGTCTAGAATAAAAAATATTTTAAAACTTACGCGCATATGCATGCATGGATATGGATCCATCTAGTGGAGAGAGCAAAGACAATAATTAACATATGGATACGAAGCGCCGATACATCGTGCGGCTGATCCGTAGCTTTTTCCCTAATGTTTCTTTTTCCTAAAGTAAAATATTTCTGTGTTTTCCTTCTCAGGTCACGAGGACAGTTATCGGCCTCCCCTGTAATACGGAAGCCAGCTCGTCCTCCCGTTATCTTCTTGCAGAAATTTTTGGCGTCTCCAGTGTGGCCACGTCTGAGCGATGGTGGCCTCTCCAACGACTGGACTACCAACGCACGATTGCCCATCTCGTCTTGCAAAGAAGATAGGAGAGAGGAAGCTGAAAATCATTGGCCCAAGAGAAAACCTTGCTAGGCTAGCAGGGCACAGCAAGAACAAGGCCAGAACCAATGGCGGCGACAGCTACACTTGCTGCCCCCTCCTTCTTGGCACATCAGTCGATCTTGAGCCACAAGCCTCTGAGGAAGCTTGGTCTATCCCTGGAACTGCCAAGAACCAGATCTGTCAAAATTAGAGCTGCAAAGCTGCCTGCAGGGGTGAGTCAGTCACAAACTGATGGTGCCACTGTCGAAATGCCTGGATTGATTTGTGTTATTGAGTCCACTCTCTTCTCTGTTTTTATTTAATGGTGGTTTGTTTGATTTTGATTTTTGGAACTGCGTCATCAGGTTGAGGTGCCGAGGAAGCAGCCAAAGCTGAGTGAGCCCTTCCTGGGTTTCACCAGGACTGCAGAGATATGGAACTCCAGGGCCTGCATGATTGGCCTCATTGGCACCTTCATCGTGGAGCTGGTAATTTGGGCACTTCACTTAATTCGTATTGCTGATAGAGCTAATTAAGTTTCTGTCTCATCATCATAGTCTTAGAGCATGATTGAATTTTGTGTTTCTGAATGTTGCGTTTCCTTTTTGTTCAGGTGCTGAACAAGGGCATTCTTCAGATGATTGGTGTGGAAGTCGGCAAGGGACTTGATCTCCCTCTTTAAATGCTAGTCCATATATATTTTGTACCATATATACTATGAGATTTATGCAGTGAAATTATTAGAACAAAGAGGGATTTTCACTTCTTGTTTGTACTAATATCATCAGAGAGATATATATCTGACGGTGTTTTGCCTGCCTATTCTGCTCTCTTCGCAATTTGGAAATGAATTGTGCTTCGACCATACTGATGTTTTCGAAATAGAACTCCGTTAAAATAGCTAAATATGTCATTGAGTCTGGCTCTTTGGGACTGATTTTGTTCACTAAATTAATTCTTTGTAACGAATCTGATACACATAATAACGGGCGGGTAGGAAAAATCTGTGTTTCCTGAGTCTGTTCACGGAATAGCTTCTTCTGCAACTTGTAGAATCATATGATGATTTAAACGAACAATTATCAAAGGTACTAAGTGTTTATGAAAAATCCGTGATGTGTACTGCTAAGTTTGAATTCCGGTTTTTGTGGAGGGGCGATTTTTTGGGCGAACTCAGGGGGCTGGACACGGGGCTTCGCCGGCATCCCGGCGCGTCCTCGACGGCGCTGCGCTGGCTCTCCTAGCTGCAACTGGAATCGCTCTCTATCAGAAATCAGGAATTGGACCACTGTTTCAAGTCCGAAAATTTTCAGTCCGGCTAGCAGAGTTCGTCAGGCCGTCGGCGGCGGCAGTGCTGATGACTCATGCTGTCGCTGGTGCTACGACCTAAACTCGAAAACGGATCGACGGTCCACTGACGGCAACGCTGATGTTCTTCCTCACTGCCAGCAATGACTGCGACTCCATCGGCGGCGACTTATCCACCTTCGAGACATGCACCAGGTAATTCCTCTCCCCTGTTGGATGCAGGTGCTTTGCAATGCGAAGGAAGTCTGAGGTTGCATGCACGGAGTCATGAAGCTCCTCGCCGTCGTCGGTTAACTCTAGCACCAAACCCATCGCCGGTAAGTGGGTGTCGTTTCTCCAGCCTGTCCGATGTTCTTGAGGAAGGAGAGGTCACTGCTGGAGCCGGTTGCGATCAAAACCACACTGGTGGACATTGTTGAATTTATATGCACATAACGATTTAATTTATTCTATAAATAAATCATGACATTGCAGATGTAAACTAGCAAGAACGTATTAATTAGATCTACACATATAAATTAGACAGTAATAAAGTATTAACAGATCGAATATGCTCAACATGCTGAACCCATGAGATAGGCTTTTGTGATTTTCCAAAGAATTAATCTTAAAATAGGCTAAGACCCATCTATTAATTCAAGACATGAAAACAAAATCAGATCTGAGAGTGTCTATCCATTTGTCGTGTGATTTCTAAAAAAAAAAAATCACCCAGATTTTTTCTACCTTTATATTTATATCCAACGAACTACAAAAGAAAATAAAAAATACATATTTACTTACACATTATTTTTATTAAAATTATAGTGCACTTACATGTCATATCAACTGAATTTACAAATGTAATTTTAGTTATATAGAACCGTAATTTTATATTTTAAAATGTAATTTTAGTTATATAAGACTGTAATTTTATATTTTAAAGAAAATAACAATACATATTTACTTATACCAAAATTACAGTGCACTTACATGTCATATCAACTGAAATTACAAATGTAATTTTAGTTATATAGGACTGTAATTTTATATTTTAAAGAAAATAACAAATACATATTTACTTACACATTATTTTTATCAAAATTACAGTGCACTTGCCTGTCATATCAACTAAATTTACAAATGTAATTTTAGTTATATAGGATTGTAATTTATATTTCACAACGACGAGAGGGACGGTGTCGCTCGCCGAATAGCGTTGGCCGTACTGCCGGCAGCCGGCTTGCCGATCAGAGGCCACCTTGCCACCATATCTCTATCATGGTGCACGTGTGGGCTAGCTGACACAGGCCGTGAGCTGCAGCTCACATCACAAGTGGTGCATACCGTGCGGCTAAAAAAAAAAAAGTGAAATGCCATAGAAAAAATCACACGGGAGATGAATAGCAAAATCGGATCTCATTTCAACCATGGCTAGCGAGACTCACTTCTCCTAAGTCGCCAGTTCAGGATCTCTTTGGATCATCGGTTCTGGCCAATTTGGATGAAGAGGGAACTAATACGTATAATTCTCAAACAGGAGAGTCCGAACATTCCTTAATTCAAGAATTTTGGGATGAAATCGGATTTCCCACTCCTGCATCTCGTTGGTGGGAACAAAACCCAGTTGCGCCTGCTGTCCCATCAACCTTGAAGCAGGATACTCAGTGGACTAAAGTTCAAAAGCGCTCGCCTCAACAGAATTCTAAAAACACTGAGCGCCATCGCCGTGGATGAGTAATGCGTCCATGGAAGGGACCATTACCTCGTCCACGACCGGCACAGACAGTGTTGCTCGCTGATTACTTGCCTACGGCAAAACAAACAGGGGAGCATCACGCTCACGGTTTGATTTCTGGGCCCGAAACAAACTCAGATCGCCAATCGCTGCTGAGAGCGCCAGGCCGAGTCGATCAAAACGAGGGGACACAGACCTCCGCAGCAAAACTTTCCCAGAATTCGTCCCTAAACTTCAGCACGCCTTCCATCCTTAGACAGGGACAGATCGGGCAAAGTTTTGGTGGAAGGTCTTTGTGCTTTGGCCCACTTTCGGTTAGACAGATGTTCACGGTCTACTGTTCCACCGAGAAAACCCTCCTACGTAGCGATGGCGGCGCGTCCTCGTGACGAGGGAGCGAAGAGTGGGCAGGGATGGGATGATGGTGCATCTGTGAATCAACAATTCAATCTAAGAAATCAGCAGGGGCTTGGCCGACATCCTCAGCACCAATTTCAGCGGCCGCCGGTTATCCCGAGGTTCGGGGGCAACCAAGCCGGAAGCTCTGGAGCTAAGGGATTGGGAGGAAGATGACATGGGGGCACCGGGCAGTTCCAACGCAGCAGCAACAAATGGTTTCCTCCGGGCGGGAATTCTGTGGGGCCTCGCAGGCGTGATCAGGATGATACATTGCGGTCGGATCAGCAAGCTCGGAAGTTCCAACCACAGGTAAAGCTAACGGCAATGCAAGGGCAGCAACTGGAGAAACCGCTGGCAGATGGTGGGCAACCACAAACTACTGCGATAATCAAGGCCAAAAAGCCGAGGCCACCACTGTCACCTGTGCAAAACGAGTGGACACATAGCACAGGTGTGTAAAGCAGACATCGGTTGCTACATTTGTAATTAGAAAGAGTCACATCTAGCAGCCAAGTGCCCGCGGCTCAAATTGCCGAAAGCTACATGTTCTCTATTTGGCTTTGGGAAAACCGAGTTCGGCCTTATCCAACTCAGTGACTTTGATCTATTCATGGTGGCTCCCTAAAGCCTGATGTTGTTCAGGCCGAGCTAGCTCATAGGATCACACTGGATTGGAAGTGGGAGGCAATCCCTCATGGTGAAAGATCCTTCCTTGTCGCTTTTCCTTCTTTTGAGGAGTTGAAGAGGATGGATGATGTTTAATTCCGCCTAAAAAATCATGGTGTGTCAATGACAATCCTTGAGTGAAAGACGACTGATGAGTTGGTTCCGGCATATGAGTTGGATGAAGTGTGGGTGCATGTATCGGGTATCGGGTGTCCCTAGCCCGTAGCGACACTACTTGGCTTTTTGGCACTGGGTTGTGTTATTGGAGCTACACAGGAGGTAGACATGCTCACTTACAGATAAACAGGGGTGATTCGTGTGAAAGTTTATATGTATAGTAGTGTACAACTACCAGTCACTATAGATATGGTCTTCGGGAAGTTGGGCTACCCAATCACCTTTACTTTGGAAGAGGAAGGTTTTCAGCCAGCACAGATTTTGGAGGTTGACTTTATGGATCATGATGGGGATGCATAGGAGGATCATGAAGACTCGTCAAAGGATGGTACTCATGATTGACTTTATGGATCATGATGGGGATGCATAGGAGGATCATGAGGACTCGTCAAAGGATGGTATTCATGATCACGCACATAAGAGGGCCAAAAATTCAGCGTCTCCAACTACCTCAAAGGAGAAAAATTCAAAGGTTACAGCCATGCAATTAGTTCCAACACCATTTGGAAACTGTCGGCTTCTGCCACCACCTCGTCCTGTGGTCACTGATGGGATTGCTTACACCATTTTGCGCACAAAATCAAGTGCAATAGTGGTGGGTGCATGTCGGCCCCCGGTTTTATATACCGGAAAACTGTTAACGACCAAATTTGGTAATATCAGTATCGGAGATGAAGATTAGATCGAGGCGGAGTTCGAGATGGAGATTGCTCTAGAAACAGAGTAGGAATCGGCTAAAGTCCAGATCGGTTGCGATCAGGATCGGCAGAGTCCGAGTTAGATAGGGTTAGCCGATTGAGCCAAATCCGACAGTATGGCGAAGCATATGTTGTCGGGTTGAGTTAATGTGCTTCATGAGGATTGCCACGCATGGATATAGTCCTGAGAAGGCAATTGTATCTATTAATTAGGATATTTCATGTAATTTCCTTAGGGATATGTTTGGGCAAAAGTCTGCCGCAAAGACTTATGGTATCTTAGAGTTTGTTAGAGATAAGAGTCGTGTCCGATATGGACATGTTTTGTAATCTCGGGTATAAATAGACCCCGAGCCCCACGTAATCAATTTAACACACGTTCAATACAATTTCGGCGCATCGCCACCCTTTTACTTTCGTTTTGTTTCGACGAGTTCTTGTTTTCGGGTTGAGCTGCATCGGTTTCGATCTTCAACTAAAGGTAAAACTTGTTATGGCGGCTTGCGTTCTCGAGATTAGTGCTTCCATCTTCATGATACTCTAATCTTGTTTATGTAAATCATCGAGTTATCATATATCTTACAAAATCTCCGGCAATATCGTTATCTAACCTACAATCGGCTAACATCTATCGGTAGAAAGCAGTCGATTAGGTTAAATAGCATTGGCTTAGATTATATAGGATATCCACCATTCTATGAAACATCCAGCGGCTTGATTGTCTAGATATTGTTCTTCTTTTCATACTTAGTGCTGCATCAGTTAAGTTTGATCTATTAAGTCGTGCTTACAATCTCAATCTCTAGCCTGCTTTCTGGTTGCCGATTAGGGTAGCATTGAGGTTTCAGCCGATCTTACCT